GTATTATACAGATACAGACCTTGACCGATCGAATATTTCGAATGTCTACAATACAAATGTAAACATTTCACATACTTTGCAACTAAATACAATGAATTCAACCTTTACCTAGATAACTGATGTAACCGTGGATGTCCATTGTACGAAAACTGCTGCTTCTGTTGACAATAAAAATTTTTTATACACGTTTTGTCTGTGTAAACCCACGGTAAACTGTGATGTGGTGACATCACGCGATTCAATTGTTTTACCTGATTATTGATGTCTAGGTTTTACAATCTGAATCATGATACCTTGGAACCGGTCTGTTTAGTTTGCTTGCCAATGTTAAACAAACATTTACAAAGTTGGATGTTTCAAAAACAAAGATTCTTTTGTAGTTTCTTATCTTCCATGACGTCTCTAGAATAATCATACTTCATACGAATGTTATAAATGCGAAAGTTTAGATGGATGGATGGATGGGTGTTAGAGTTTATAGCCTAAACGGCTGAACGGATTTTGATGAAATTTGGTATAGATGTAGAGGATAGTCTGGAAGAACACATAGGCTAATCACTTTTGTATTGTTCAATTCCACGGGGACGGAGTCGCAGGCGAATGCTAGTCTATTCATAGTTTAAACCTTTGCAAAAATATACAGATATTTTTTCTATAGATTTGTTAGTGTATATGTCTTACAGTTTTTAATTAATTACTACAAGAACATCGTATTGTGGTCATCACATTGTGGGATAGGATCGTACTACTTACATAGTAAAAGCCTTACTGGGAATTGAACCAAACAAAACCGTACACATTGGAGTGTAGTAATGTTAGAAAATTGCACTCGAGAATGACGATCGATTCCGCACGCCGGCAACGATAACAATCGAAGACACACATAAGACCGGGTGCACACCTTTGAGTAAACTATCCCATAACTTGTACGATTGTCGATTGTTTCGCAGCCCATACAACTGTTTAGTTGCACAACTAAAAATCGAGTAGTGTGCCCACCTTCATATAAGCTCATAGGAATCAAATCGAGACTAAACAGTGCGATTGTTTAGTTTACAGAGAGACGATATTATTATTTATATTATGTTTTGCCCGTAACTTCGGTCGTGCGGAACTTAAAAATAAACTTGTATATCTTTTTCTAGATTATGTTCATCAGTGTCAAATTTCATCAAGGTCGTTAATACATTTTTGAGATATGTAGTAACAACCATACATCAAACTTTCGCATATATAAGTATGAAAGTATGACAGACATGATAAGTAATGTGCTTCGAGAAATCCATCTTGTTTATCTTTATTCCTAATACTTATTTTTCGTGTTTTAAAATGAAACAAAAGAAATCTAAATTTTCTGGATATCAAATTTGTAATTCCGTAGTTAATTAACATTCCTAAATAATTAATTCTTTATTATCCGTACCTATCGTAATTTAGGTGAATTTCGATATTACACACTAAACTCAGCATGATATGTAGACTTTATTATACATATTTTTCATGCAATAATTTAATTTTATCTGGACATAGTCGTAATAGAGCTGTTGATGATTTTAAAATCCGGTACAGAAAATCTCTTTAACTACGATCAAGATAATTTTCTAACGACAATTATATTCAAAGAAAAACAAGAATAAGGGAAAACAATTGGCCTGAACTGATGACATGCAATTCTTACAAAAAAAAATATACAATTATATTTAAGTGTATGCAGTTTACAATGATGCTATTGTTCGGATGTCATTACATTTATGTAGTTTAGCTTTCGCCCGCGACTACGTCCGCGTAGAATTAAAAAAAAAAGAAAAGTAAGTAGCCTATGTGTTCTTCCAGACTGTCCTCTACTTCTATACCAAATTTCATCGAAATCCGTTTAGCCGTTTAGGCTACAAACTCTAACAAACATCCATCTAAACTATCGCATTAATCACATTAGTATGATAGTATGATTAGCTTTCGCCCGAATAAAGAAAAAAGTAAGTAGCCCATGTGTTCTTCCAGATTATCGTCTACATCTATGCCTTCCATCGAGATTCGAATAGCAGTTTGTGCTACAAACATCCGTCTAAACTTTCGCATTTATAACACTAGTTGGATAAATGTGTATATTTAAATTTGCAACAGATCAACTAAGGCTTGAAAAAAGTGAATATAAGAGACTAGCTGTTGTTTGCGACTTCGTCTACGTGAAATTAAAAACATAGCCTATGTTACTGAGCGAAAACATAGCTTTTTATTGGTAAAAGAATTATTGAAATCAGCCCAGTAGTTGTTGACCTCTTTGAATACATACAAAAATACAAATCTTTCCTCTTAGATTAATATAGATAATACGTTTAAATACAAGATTTTCAGCAATGAAAACCCACAATAAAGGATTTAAAAAACTCATAAATACATCTTTTACAAATTATACCGAGTAATCTACGTTGATGTGTCAGTTACTTGTTGTCATATACGATGAGTAAAGACGCTTAATGACCAAACATTAGTTGGGTTACGCCTTCAGCAAAGAAATGAGGTAATTCTCGTAATACACGGACCTTGAAATGCGACCTGAATTACCGTTAACTAGGGTTGCCACCTACATGGATGATTTAATTCATTTAAAGTTAAATTATTGCATACCAAAACAATAATTATTTTTATATTATAAAAAGCGGAAATAAATTGATAGAAAAAAATATCTAAATTGGTATCTACACTAGGGCCGGCGATATGCGGTATATCACATAAAAGATATGTAGACGATTTTCTTTACTATTTTAAGATTTTAATTAATTTACTAATATTTACCATCCCAATTAAACTCTGGGATAGGGCTAGGTTTACAATAGACGAAAAGCGGGATTCGAACCCTCGACCACGTGATTGCAAATCCATACCCCTAAGCTATTGGCGCTCCTTTAAATGAGAACCTCCTTTTGGGAATCCGTTTAAAAAAGAAATGTTTTATTTAACTAGTACTTATTCTACTACACTATATCAACAGTGAATTATTTTAAAGCAATCTTACTTCTTACTAATATTATAACGAAAGTTTAGATGGATGGATATTTGTTAGAGTTTGTAGCCTAAACCGCATAACGGGCTTCGATGAAATTTGGCATAGATGTAGAGGATAATATGGAACAACATAGGCTACTTTTTAATACCACACCGACGGAGTCGCGGGCGTAAGCTACTAAAACAATAAAGTATTTCAAAGGCACACTTTACTCGTATAGAATTTGTAAGCAAGTATGAGTAAGAAAATGAGTCAGGTTAGGTTAAGCCTCATGTCAGTCACTTGTCTAGTTCGGTTGGAAACACATCCTTTTGGTTTCTATTATGTTTCGCATGTTGTGACTTATGTGTTTGAAATCCGGCCAATTGTGTCCAATGTTGATACAGGTGTGAAACGTTAAATAGGTGAGTTTTGTCGCTTTGTACATCATCATGGTTTGTTTTATTAAAACATCTTTCTTGCTCACCCAGTGCACTATTTCAACGTGTGAGTCGACCTTTTTGTCCTCAATGACCCTACACTCAAGTTCTCTAGTGGATAGCATTATGCAGTCAGGACAATTCGCTCAATTAAAATGTATTCTTGTTTATTTACGATTGATCAATCAAGTCAAACATAAACAGATAACGTAGCTGACCAAAGGAAACTGACATTTAATTAAAAGAAAACAACAAAACAAAAACAGTTTGTTTTTCTGTCTGAATTATATTCTTACTTCTTCCTTATAATATTATACTTACGAAAGTTTAGATGGATGGATGGATGGATGTTTGTTAGTTTGTAGCCTAAACGGCTGATCGAATTTCTATGAAATTTGGTATAGACGTAGAGGATAAGATAAGAGCACATAAGCTACTCACTTTTTTCAATTCCACGCAGTAGGAGTCGCGGGCGAACGCTATTTATTAATGCTTTAGGCAAAAATTCAAATCAAACTACACACGAGATAACAATAGGTTTTTAAAACATCCAATAAAGTAAAATGGCCATTTAGTATTTAGTTTAAAAGCGCCTCGTTGTCTACACTTTTAAGAGTTGAGAAACTGCATTGACAAATCCGGCATCTTTACTATGAATACAAATTGCTTCACTTTGAAAAGATTACCACAAGATCACTTTCTACAGTGAAGTGACAACTGTACCAAACTGCGAACACAAAAGACGTGAACTTTTTACTCTGATAATGTTGACGATTCGATCACTATTAATATAAATGTAAGTACATTTTAAGGAGGTTCTAAAATCGTCTGTATATTTTTGTAGTTTAAATTTCTGTGCTTAAAAACTTAATTAGTCCTCTATACTAATATTATAAAGAGGAAAGATTTGTATTTTTGTATGTATTGAAATAACACAAAAACTATTGGGCCGATTTTAAAAATTCATTCACCGTTAGAAAGGTAATTGAACTGTGAATAATATATATTGTTTATTATTATATTAATTTCACGCTGACGTAGTCGCGAGCAGCAGCTAGTATTGTATATTTCGAGGAAATAATGTTCGGGTTTTAAAAAATGTTGAAACCTTAACCGGCTTAGAAATAAACGTGGTATAAAGTTTAACTTACAACTAAACTGAGTATAAACACATGTTAGTACAAATTTTTCTTATACTCAGTTTATTCCTAAGTGTAATTTTATACCGCGTTTATTTTTAAAGCTGTAAAACGTTGCGATCTACCTTACCCTATAAAAAAGAATCTACGAGTATAATCAAGCATAATTCCTTTATCTAACTACTGGCAAAAGTCTTTATTTTTTGTCTTTTTTAAAGTTTTTCTTATAAATTCACAAGCTTGCGCCTGCGTCTTCGTCCGCGTGAAACGTAAAAAAAAAAAGTTAGTAGCCTATGTGTTCTTCCAGACTATATATCTCTACATCTTTACCAAATTTAATTTAAATCTCTTCAGCCATTTAGGCTGCAAACTCTAACAAACATCCATAAATCTAAAATTTCGCATTCATAATATTAGTATGATTATTATTTCCAGCGGCAGTGTACATAGCGGGCGTGGTTGCGGTCATCGGCGTGACTGTACTGGGCGTGTTCTGCATACTGTCAGTACTGCAACTAGCGATGATCTCCTCAAAGGAGAAAGTGGGAATAAAGTACACACATCTGGTCATGCTGAAGTTAGCGCTCGCGTTACTAGCAAGTGAGTATTGTAACTTAGTTTTATCTCGTGGCTTTACTCTCAGATATGTAGATAATTCTAAAGCTGGGTTTACCCGCTACAATTTAAACAGAACCACAGAGAACTTATCACGAAAATCCGTGAGAAAGGTTTCGTAACATTGACAAGTTTTGTATTTTTCTATAATTCATAAAAGAAACCACAATACATTTGAAAACTCGCCAAACTGCATAGCTCACAATACACTTATTATCGTACTAGCTATTCCCGTGCGGCTTCATCCGCATGAAATATGAAAATTTCTTTTATTGTTTACATTTGTCAAATTATTAATAGCAAATGTCAAAGCAAATGTCAATCAATGTCAAAGCATATGACATGATATGACAAACTTTAGCAATCTTGCTTCCTTGATGTTGGCAGCAACTTATGGTCTCTTTCCCACATTAGGACTTTTATCCAAAATATTTACACCCTAAGTTTAATGGCGTGAAAATATATAGCCTAAAGCGTGACGAAAGTTTAGGGCTTTTTATTAAAAAAATAATTATTCAAAAATATGCTATGATTGTTGACATCTTAGGCAACAAAAAAGTGTGTATTTACGCTTTATTACAATAATATAGAAAATATAGAAATACAGATACATAACCTGCTTTGTTTAGATTTCTTAAATAATTGTTCACAAATTGTAATCAAATGCTCAATTTCCGATATTAAAAATCAAAAATTTAAATACGATTGTTAGGTACTAAAATTAACGCGTACAAACTTTGGTTTTGTAAGTATCTTTGTAGCTTTTGTATTAAAAATTGTTTAAAAAGTTAATCAAATGATGTTTTAAATTCCAGCATTGCTGTCGATAGCTGCAGCCGGTCTGTTCGCGGTACAAGTCGATGACAGAGGATTTTATCAGACAAGAGGGGAGGCGTTTTATGTTCAGGTATTTATTATTCAACTAGCTTTAGTCCTCCGTCTGCGTGGAATTTAAAAAAAAACAAAAGTGTGTAGCCTATGTGTTCTTTCAGACTGTCCTCTACATATATGCCAAATTTCATCGAAATCCGTTCAGCCGTTTAGGCTACAAACTCTAACAAACATCCATCCATCTAAACTTTCGCATTTATAATATTACTTAGATAGTAACCAATATTAGTCAAAAAAAATAGATCCGAACTTAAGTTTCCCACTATAAATTCTTAAACCGTTAATTATATTCTAGGCTATAATTTTTATGTATTTTTTTTATTTTTTCCAGATCGTTTCCATAGTGATAAACTCAATACTGTTCATAATGTCGTTGTATGACACTTTGTTCTCGCGGCGCGCGGGCGGAGACCCCACGAACACACACGCGCACGCTGAAGGTGGAACTACCATTAATAACCCTGGATTTAAGGAAGGCAGAGGTTAGTTAATACAGGAAAGTCTGTAGAACTTATTGAATACAATAATTAATTTAATTCCTATGTTAATAAGCTAATAATTACATTTCTCGTAAATAATAACCGTTTAGATATTAATTTTTATAATGCCTCCCATAGAAAAGTGATTAAATCATCCCGGTTTGACTTAATTTTGATCTAAACTTAAGTAAATAAAAACAGTGTTTTCCCCTCATTTATTAAAATGTTTTACAGTAGAACCTCGATAACTCAAACCTCAGTAACTTAAAAACCTTTATGAATTCAAAAAATAATATGTTCCCTTCCTATCAGAGCCCAAATCCTCTACAACATACACCCTTGATAACTTAAAACCTCTATAACTTAAAATATTTTGTGTTTCCCTTGGACTTTACCTTATCGAGGTTCTTCTGTATTTGAATTTTTCTCCATGAAATTACCACAAAATTTCCTTTTTTACTTTCTTTATTAGTAACTCCTTACTATCAAACTTAAAATATCCCCCTCTTTATAAAAAATGTCTGTTTTTCTAATTCTTTACAACTCATTTACCTAAGGGCGGATCCAGCTTTAGCGCTGGGGGGGTCACATAGTCGTGGTCAAGTCAAGAGCTTGACAAAATATGTAAATACTAGCTGTTCCCATGCGACTTCATCCGCATAAAATTATAAAAATTTCATTTTATTGTTTACATTTATCAAATTCTCAATTTTAAATGTCAAAATACCAATGACCTTACTATGGCAATCTTGCTTCTTGATGTTGGCAACTATCGTATGGTCTCTTTCACACATTAGGGTTTTTATCAAAATATTTACCCCCTAAGTTTAATGGCGTGAAAGTATATAGCCTAAAGCCTGACTTAAGTTTGGGCTTTTTATTAAAAAAAGAATTATTCAAAAATATGCTGTAATTGCTGAGATCTTAGGCAACAAAGAAGTGTGTGTTTACGCTTTATTATAATAGTATAGATATTTTGTCGAGCTCTTGAACAACCAGCTCAGGGGGGTCATGACCCCCATGAACTCCCCCCTGGATCCGCCGCCCCGTTTACCTAAATACCAGTTTATTTATCTACAAAAAACTTGTATGATTATGGGTTAAAAAACAAACGTTTTCCTCCGTAGGTATATCAATGACGGATGCATCAGGTAAGCCGTACAGCACCAATGGCGGCAGCGTCGCCTCCATGAACACTACCGCTACCACCCTCACCGGGCTCTCCGACGCCTCCATCACCAGATCCCCCCTCAGGTCCTCGCTGAAGAAGCCCCGCCCCAGGGAAGGGGAGCCAGGGGGACTTGGCATACATAACCCAGGGTACTCGGGACATTCACCACCTTTGAACAGGAATGGCAGCCAGAAAAAAGTACGTATACAAACACATAGTACTGAAGTATGATTTAAAAAAAAAAAACAAATGAAGTGTGATTTTTTGACAAAAAAATTGAAGTGTTTTTTTACAAAAAAAAATATCTGTAAATCAACGTTAACTACAATTGTTTTTTTTATGTATTATGAATGTAGAAAACCACTTTAAAGTGTTATTTATAATTTAAATCCTTTCTAAATTCTATTGTATAGAATTTGTAAATCTAATATTTCGTAATTAATCGTATAAAAATGGAAAATATATGACCCTTATACAAATGTCTTGATATAAATGTACAAAATACATAGAAAATATATAAAAAAATAATAATGGGTAATCCTTGTCAACACTACAATTATGAATCAAAAAAAGTAATTAAACACAAAATAATGAGAAACGCAACTAATGAAAAAAAAAAAGAAAAAAAGACGTAATTTAAATTAGACTGCATTGGGTCCTCGCTTCATGTTATATCTACAAATGTATGAAATCCTTAACACATACAATGCCTTTTTTACATTACTACGTGAACTCGCAAAGCGAGCATTGAATGTGTTAATTCACCATCACATATTAAAAGAGATTCCCAAAATATATAAAAAAAAACCTACAGTCAAATGAAGCCTGTCTAAACGATTTACCCTGTTATCAAAGAATAATTAATATTATAATTTTTTGTAAAATTTTATTTAAACATTAAAACATAAAAAAATAAATCCCTAAAAATATCTCATTTCAATTCAAATTTGAATAAAGAATATCGTATTTAAATTAAAAAAATAAAATTTAACCATTTTCGGAAAAAAGATTTCCCTTTTATTGCCGTTTCTTTTTTTCCTTAAAAAATGTGTTTTTGTATTGGTATGAGCAAAACGGTTATGCTTAAGTTTGACTGAATATACAAGTTTGGGGTCCCAATATTTAATATTATTAACTTTAAATTTATCTCAAAGTAGATTAGAATTTTTTTTTCATTCAAAAATCGCACATATAATGTAAATGGTATTATGTACCGTAGTCAAGTAAATAAAAATTATGTAATTAAAGTATCTTAATTTTAATTATAACATCACAGTGGTTGTAATTTATTAAACAAATAGAATAATTTGAAAAAAAAAAAGGAAATATTTATTCAATTTTAGGAAAAAAATCTCAATAAATTATTTGTTACCAATCTAATTTTTGTAAATCATCACAAAATAATGACATTTCATACATTTTTATTCTTAAAATTATAAAGTCTGTATTATTTTGGTCTCATAGATATTAAATTTTTCTTTAAAAAAAAAATTTTTTTTTCATAAAATATGTTGTTTTCATTATCTCTGAAAACAAATGAACAATCTTTTGTATGAATATTTCGCTGTAAAAATGTTAATTACAAAAATCAATACACAAGATGGGTAAAAATACTTGAGTAAAGAAATTAATAATACGGAATTTTATGGATTTATTCCTCTATCTAAGATTCATTTTTGACCGACTTCCCAAAAGGAGGTACTCAATACGTCTGTATGTTTTTTTTATAAATGTGTAAAAAGCCTTTAAAAAGTTAAATTTAAGCAAAGTTTAATGATTTTTGGCGTTTTAATCATATTTTAATGAGTTAATTTTTTTCCATGTTAAATATTATTTTTAATTTGATTATAAATTGTAAATTTATCTTATATTTTTCTAAGTGCAATTTATCACAATCTTTATGTATATTTTGATTGAACAAAGTTCTTATTTACATAGTTTGTACATATTCGGCACAAAGTGTTCATCACGGAGAATATTTAAAAAAACAATATATTTCGTTGTAAATTTACGCAAGATATTTTTTAATTTTTCATTAATTTTAATTGCAATATAGAGAATAGTAAGACTTTATTTTATAGGTTTTTGTAAATATATAAGAAGATTACAGATGGCAGCTATAGTTTACAAAATAGATAAAAAAATAAATTCATATTCAACATCTAAAAAACAATGCCTTATGATATTAAAGTATACATTCCAGTATATAATATACATCATAATATCTATGCTAATATTATAAAGAAGAAAGATTGTATTTTTGTATATATGGAAATCACCCAAAAACCAAAAGATTTAAAAAAATCTATCACATTATATTTTTTTATTTTAAGCGGGCGAAGTCGCGAGCAATAGTTAGTGTATATAGCTGCGATCTGTAATAGCGTATAATTATAAATGGAACCCACCAGTTTCTTTTATTCCGAATCATATAGCTATTATGTAGTTGAAAATCTAAATTTTTTATATATATATTGATGTAAAAATATTGTGCCTTTCACCCTCTGCATAAAATGTGCCTTAACCATTTCGTCTTTTTTATTTAAGTAAAAAAATCGATTTATTTATGTTAACCCTAGTTATAATTTTTATCCGTCCAATGTTCTGGTCTTATTTTGTAAGATTATTCAAATTGCAACAATTTCTATATCGTTATAGTATTATAACTTTTTCTTTATACTAAATCTCATTAAAATGTTTATCGTTTTGCGAATCTCTTAATCATTATTTAATGATTAAATTTATTTTAATGTACTAAAAATAGTTGGAAATATTTTTTAAATCAAAACTAAAAAAGCCATATTGCGTTTTCGTGTTATAATTGAAATAATACACGAAGTACAGAAAAATAATAGAATTTAGTGCTTAAACAATGTTTTAACGAAAAATTAATATTTGAACTGATTGTTGCAACATTATTATGTAAGTATTATATAAAAAAAGAATATTTATGATTGTTATAAAATATCTCATAAGCTTGGATTTGTTTTGTATCTTTTAATTTACTATGATTTTGTGAATTTCACGCTTTATGTATTTTTTAATAATTTAATGACTTTTTAATCATTATAATGACATTAATTTTTTGGGACCAATGATTTTTTTGCAATGTTTTTCTCCACTGTCTCCGTCCGATGTATTATTTTATCTTGTATTTGTTTTATTGAAGATTAAAGTTAGATTTTGCCGAGTTTGTGTTTGATTTAACCTTGTTTTTCTTTTATAACCTTCAAGCTAAAAGAAACAAATCGAAATAATTTCAATTCACCAAATAGATACAGAAATCCCGTACTCTCATTAATTTTTTTCAATTATTTTGTAAAAGTCGAGAGAAGGAAAAAGAAAAAAACAACATTGTATTGAAAATAATTTATTTTATACTGTTTGTCAGAAATTCCTTAAATTACTTGTTTATGCATGTATCCAAAGTTTTTAAGAATTTCAAAACAACAGTAAACTACAATCAATATGACTGATAAAAACCAAATGAATTTAATACGAAAAATACTGCAATAAACATCTGGATATTGAAATTGCACTATCCTTTCATTTTACTGCAAAAACCTCATTTTTCAGATATTTAACATACAAAACATACCCTTATAATACACTAAACTTGTCTTACCAAGTTGTAAATTGTCTGATAATCCAACAAGTAAAACATATGATGGAAATATCATATTGTGCCCTTTTGACAGTGAAGTCATTTTTAAGCCATCTGAACCTCTATCAGCCAGTGGCGGGACAGGCCCTAAACATAATAGATTACAAACACAAAACAGTGGACTTTTGTAAAATACTCAAGGTTGAGGGCATTACTCTTATTGTCAGGTCAGTGTCAAACTATTGAATTTGTTGGAACAATTCAACAAATAAAAATAATTATTACCCGCCTTTGTATATGTAATGTTCTAATTTCTATTTAAACCTATTTTTAAATTAACCTATAATTTACGTTTAATACCTCCTAAATTGTTTTTTAAACCTTTCGTAATGATAATCATCAGTAGCCCTTTCACCTTTTGCCTTTTTAACAATCTTATCAACATTTTCATCGATCACATTAGTTTCTGTCTTCACTTCTACCTTCTCTACTTTTCTTTTCTTTGTATTATCATCTATATTAAACCTATTATGTTGTACAAAATTCACCGCCATGTTTGTCGGAACAAATTGTGACGGGCCATCTTTTTTATTATGTCTTTCCCATAGTAATTTCATTTTCGCTTCTTCCGTCGCTTCAATATTTTTAATTTTAGCATCTATACCTAAATCAACTTCTGGGATACCACTTAACATTTGATTTGATAACATTTCCTCGGATCTGGGCATTGAAGATACTCTTAGATGTTCAGGAAGTGAAAGTAGCGCTGCTTCTTCAGGAGATAAGTATTTCAATGTATCATGGTTTTCAGATTCTCTTTTATCATCAACATTTCCCTCTGAAAGAAAAAAAAACAAAATGGAACCTGTACATGTAGATGTGAGCAAAAATTTAATTATTCCACTTGAGTAGCAGTGTGAAATAATAAAATAACTTGATAGACTTCTTATACAACTTTAAGACTTGTGGGTTACAATGAATCTTAAAAAAAAACAAAGATAAATATACCTTTTCTTTTAGCTAACTGTTCTTCAATATATTTCATCATTTCTTCATCCTCGTCTCGTTTATTAGTTTCCGCTGAAAACTGTGTTCCGATACCGGTGTCGTATGCGTCATCTACTTGTTTTACTTTACCACTTTTTAACGCTTGCATATTAACAATACCACCAGTTTTAATTTTAAAAGGATCTTTACATACAATCTCTTCCTCCAATGTAACTTTTTGACCAGTCGCTAAAGCAACTATACTGACCCCGTTCGGACGTTCTCGAAGCTTCTGTGCCTCTTTTGCTTCCTCCAATCTGGCCAGTATTACCTGTTCGTCTTCAGAATCATCGTCCTCCGCTTTAACACGTTGCCGTATGTTTCTCCTTTTCTTTGGTTTAAATTTTACTTCCTCAGCAGCTGAGGAGTTTTCTGAAGAATCTTCCATTGTTATTTATATATTTATAATACAAATAATTGCAAATTGAAAAATAAAAACTACTTTATGATGTGATTTTGGATTTTGTTGTCATACATTTTGATATGACATGTGTTAAAGTCAAATATTCAAATTGTCAAAAATCTACGTATCACAGAGCAAGCAATCATTCCTGGAACAAAGAAGGTATTATACCTACGTGATCTTCATTAAATTAAAATGCTTTTTATTTGATTAAAAGCATCAAAAACCAATTTTAGGACTTACTACGATGATAGATAATAATTTTATCCTAGTGATAGCAAAAAGAATCTACTTTGTTGTTGTTGTTAGAAATTGCAAAAGAACCTTATCCCAATGGCATAAGATGCAAAGTTGTGTGCCTGTCACTGTTATCAAAAAAAGTTCAAGCACCGTGCAAAAAGTGTCACTTTTGTTGACATTGTTATCATTTATCAATTGCCATCCGGTTCGTGTGCTTCAAGTATTTATTATTGTGAATAAGAATTACACTGTTTTCATCCCACGTCTTAGAGTCCAGAGTCCACTATTACGTACTGAATAAAACTGTGAAATCAAGACGTTAACAAGTGCGCGGTTAATATTATTTTTAATGTAAATAACAAAGTTGTCTTATAAAAATGACTGATATAATTTTATTACAATCACCGCCACCAAAATTAGTAGATGTTCAAAAATCGGTGTTCTGTCCAGAAGCATTAGAATTCGTCTCAAAGTTGCACAAAACTTTTGACTATCAAATTGAAAAACTTTACAAAGATCGACTTTCAAAGAATGCCGCTATTCAAACTCAGAATTCCGTAGACTTCAAGATAACAGCTGAAAGAAGTGATAGAACATGGAAAATAGGCGCATTACCTTCAAGATTACAGTATGTACGTGTAATTAAAAAACATAATTTTTACTCTCAACTTAATATAAAAATTTAAATGTTTTCTACAGAAATCGTCATTTAGATTTAGGTGACGTATCTCCATCGAATGCTGCACATTTCGTCGAAGCATTAAACTCTGATGTTCAAGGTATACAAGTCGATTTTGATGATGGTCATTGTCCGACTTGGAGAAACCAACTCCTGGCTTACCATAATATCAATTTACTTGTTAATGGAAAGCTTCCTGGAGCTCCGCCAAGTATTAGTACATGTCCAGTGTTAATGTTAAGACCTAGGGCTTGGAACATGATAGATCATGATATTCTGGTTAGTAAAATATGTAAATCGTAAGTATTGTTATTATTTTTATACTATAGCCTCACCCAGTGGTCGGATAACTTTTAAACTTAGCTAACTTTTTAACTTTTACTAAACTAAATAAAACTAAATTTAATACTTCTTCTTAAAAGTGTATTCTTATGTTCTTAATAATAGGAACTACAGATAGAACTGGTTAATAAAATTAAAAGTATTATATTTTATTAGTTTTTGGCTCCTAGAGCAAATATATGGATCATTAGTCTATTTTATAAGCGGTAGCATTTAAAATATTGGTATATTTTTAGATAGAAGGTAAAGAAGCAATTGGCCCGTTAGTAGACTTTGGTATTTTAATGTACCATATTGGTAAAAAATTATATGAAGCGAATAGTGGACCATATTTTTACCTTTCAAAACTAGAAGGTTCATCGGAAGCAGTGTTGTGGAATGAAATATTTATATGGTCACAGAATGAACTTGATTTGCCTTATGGTACTATAAAAGCATGTGTTTTAATTGAGAATATTTTATCAACTTTTGAATTGGAGGAAATTTTGTTTGCATTAAAGGACCATTCGTTAGGCCTGAACTGTGGGATTTGGGATTACTGTGCATCTATTATATCAAAATTTGGTAAGTCATTTCTCAATTACATATGGTCAAATTGCCCAACTACAAACTCTTACTTTTTGTTACAAACATTTGTATAAACTAGCTTTCGCCTGCGACTCTGCCCGCGTTGTATTAAAAATAACAAAAGTAAGTAGCCTGTGGTCTTCCAGACTATCCTCTATATCTATGCCAAACAAGATATGTTCAGCCGTTTAGGCTACAAACTCTAACAAACATCCATCTATCCATCTAAACTTTCGCATTTATAATATTATCAAGATTAAGATTATTAAGATTCCTGTGAGTCCTTTTTTTTTAAACCATGTAAATGGTTTCATGTTTTGATATTTTTTTATTTGCTTAACAATGTAAGTGTTTGTCCGTTCTTGCTTTAATCTATTCCAAAGCGTTTTCCTTATTATTTATACCTTCCTTAGGTGATCGTAAAGAGTTTCTCCTACCAGATAGAAATAAATATGTGAACATGGACCGTCACTTCCTGAACAGCTACATGAGGCTAGTAGTTAGTACTTGCCACGCGCGCGGAGCTCCCGCGACTGGCGGTAT